TTAACGGTGTATTGTGTTGTGCTGTTTACCTGTAGATCAGAGTTCTGTTACCCTCGCTCTGGTGATGCTGGGGAAGTTTGGTCTGTCGGCAGCGTTCTCCATCATTTACCCTGTTACTGCTGAGCTTTACCCCACTGTGCTGAGGAACACCGCTCTAGGAGCCTGCTCAATGTCCTCCAGAGTTGGCGGCATTTCTGCTCCATACTTCAACTACTTAGGTCACTAAACTGTGTTTTCTAAACTACTTTTGACTCAGTTTAATTGTTGAGTTCTGTAGATCCTCAATGAGGAAAGAAGCTTACATTTATATCAGACAAGCCAAACTCAGATTACTCTCACAGCTTCATTAACAGCAGACCTAAGCTTTAACTCCAGCTCATCACACCTGGGCCAGCTTCAGTTAGGCTGTTAGTGAAGCCGGAGCTGCCCTGTGTGTTACTGTCTGAGTTTAGACGCCTCCGGCTTAAATCACTGACCTGCTGCACTGTTGATTATATCTCTGTCTGATCATGCAGTTGGACGGGTGAATCTCAGGTGGCCAGCGAGTGTGTATTTATTTCCTCTCATGCCTGTAACGCTCAATAGCTTTGTTCTCTTGTTTGCAGGAAGCTACCACAGATCTTTACCGTACATCCTCATCGGCGGTATAAATGTGCTTTCTGGTCTGCTCAGTTTTCTGCTTCCAGAGAGTCGAGGATCAGCTTTACCAGAGACTATCGGTCAAATGCAGACCGTAAAGGGGTAAGTGTGAGGAGAACAGCGCCCTCTGCTGCTCACTGTGCATTAGCATTACATTCTTCCTGGAGAACACACAACACTACACGTTATTCACTTCTCCGTACACAAACACAGCTGATCTTCAGCTAAACTGTAGTGATCTACAGTGTGCCAGATGGAGGAGATGCAGGCGTGTGTTTGGGAAACTGATACTCTACGTAATGCTGTCCATGTACCGACAGCTAGTTTAAAACCTTGAAGGTTTCTATAACAGTAGTGAGAACTGCATTATGGTTGCATTTGCTCTGATTACAGCACATGAAACACGTCTGTAACTGTTTCATTGGTTAAATGTGTCTGATGTATTTGCACACTGTAGATATTCCCAGTAAATCACCAGCAATGCTCTCATCAACCTGTTGGAGTGTCTGAGCAAAAGCATTAAGCTAAAGTTTTTTGCTTTAATGGTAAATATGATGTTAAAGACAGACCCTACAGTCAGAACTCCTGAAGTTATGAACCCACTACTGTTCAGACGACAGTTTTTCTAGATCTGCTCTTTGCACTAATGTCCTCTCACACTCTGGACTCGGCTTTCTCTGGGTTAGCTCCAGTTCCAGGAAGAGGGATTATCAGCTATCCATTTAAATATCAGTTATTTTAATCATGATGGTCGATTCTTGATCAATATTTGTCACCATGCTCTCTCACCTGTCTGGGTCAGGTTATATTCTAGTTATGTTCAGGATTAGAGATCACAGATGGAGGTTACACTAATTAGCTGTGCGCATTAAAGTGAACAGTGAATTATGGAGAAAACTACACTGCAGATCTGCTTTTCTCAATGAGAGTTTCTGTCTTTTTTCTTGTCCGGCATTACTTCAGCTAAAACACTTTCTACACAAGTGAACAATATTGTCTTGTTTTCAGAAAAAAATGAGTCAACATTTTTTTTTTCTTAAGACAATTCTTACTTACGGAACGCCGGAGGGGACGTAGTGGAGAAGAAAAAAATTATGGGTGAAAGAAAAAAATTATGGGTGAAAGAAAAAAATGGGTGGGAGGAAAATATATATTTCTAAGTTTTTGCGCTCCCTCTCTAAGTTTTATGTTGTCTCGCGAAGATGTTTTACGTTCCCTCGCAAAGATGTTTTGCGTTCTCTCGCAAACCTTTTTCTCCACAAACACTTCCTGTTCACTTCACTCACGTAAACCCTCCCGTTTTTGCTGAAATTCTTCCGTATTTTACCACTCTATCCCACTTTCTTTACATTAATACTGTGCGTCGATCACCAGTGGGGTTTTTTTCACCCAGCCAATTTTTTCTCCTCCACTACGTCCCTTCCGGGGTTCCGTACTTACTCCATTGGCATCTTAATTTTGAGTTTCTGAAAACAAGACAACATCTTCTTATTTGAAGAGTTTTATGATATTTGCACTAGAAACAAGACGAAAACTCGAAGTTAGAATCAGCAGTTCCTGCAGTGTATAAACATGATTATGATCCTTCACTCAAGATCTGTTTATAAGAAATGCCCACATCTGATGGTTGTTATTTGACTGGACTTTCCCCTTTTACTTGAAAGTAATGCAATTATTGAGAGTTAATGCAGTTTTAGAGTTTGATGTTATATGATGAACATATGATGTTATAGAGGGGTGTGTTTACTATTAATATTATAAATACTATAAATTATTTTTTACAGGTTAAAAAAACACAGTCCACTCAACATTAGCAGTGAAGAGGCGTGTATCTGAACGCTCGTCACAGATTTCTGGAATTATGATACGATGTAAATAAAACCCTTCACACCAATGCTGTCTTCAACTGTACACCAGTAATGACACCTTTGGTGTAATAAAAGCACACATTTTACAAAGCTTTGCAATTAACAGTGTTTACTGTTTGGTTTTGTGTACAATGTTTTTATCGGGTTATTTTTGGTCCTAAATGTGATGAAGGACACATGCAGTATATAATAAACTTTGGCTTTAGGTACAACTTTGTCTCTGTCTTTGTCTTCTCTGTCTTTCTGTGTTCTCTCTCTCTCTCTCTCTCTCACTGAAAAAAGCAGCTGAACACAGATGAAGTTTTAGTCAACCGAAACTGCTTTGGTCCAGTTTTCAGATTTTAGAGATGTTCAGTTCAGTCTAATGCAAATGTGACTGCTGAAATGCCAAACACTGAAGAGCAAATCCAATCAATCCCAAACCAAGCAGACCAGCAGGACAGTGAAGGAGGACACTCAGGGCCAGCGCGTCCATAGAGGCGACCTAGGCGGCCGCCTAGGGCGGCAGAATAAAGAGGGCAGCGTCCCCGAAATTACCCTCTCCCTCATCCATGTCTAGGGTGGCAGAATAGAGAGAGCGGCGTCCCCGAAACTACCCTCGCCACCCGCGCCCACAGTTATATCTGCGTCTAGGGCGGCAGAATAGAGAGGGCGGCGTCCCCTAAACTACCCCCCCCACCCCCATTTTCACTTAGGTTTGAGGGTGGCGTGACCGTCCTTTGCCTAGAGCGGCAGTTCAGCTTGCTCTGGCCCTGAGGACACTCCACAAGCTGATGAGAGTGAAGGAGAAAAAACCTGTAGAGATACCAGACTCAGTTCAGTTTAGTTCAGTTCAGATTCAGTTCTGCATTTCTCCTCTAGCCAAACTTCTGGTGCAGAGCTGCAGTCAAGAGGAGGCTGGAGAACGCTGGACGTCCACTGGGGAGAATCTGCAGGTCTGAGTATGTCATCAGTGGGTTTTCATCTTCGAGTTTGAAGGCTATTGTTCATGTCACACTGGACTCGAACCCAAGCCCTGCTGCTCCTCTGCCTGTCTGTACCAGGACAAACTGCAGGATTACAGGTGTTACTCTGGCCGGCAGCTGATCAGGTGTTCACCGCAGTATTCACTGATCACAGCTGATGGACAGCCCTGCAGACATGACCACCCGTGTGCCACATACGGCTATGGTTACTATTGGTGCAAGACCAGTGATGGACAGACAGGCCGCTGCAGTCCTCCGCTGACGAGGAGCATTGCTGACAGCGGAATATGGAGAACAGCAGCTGTGCGGCTGCGCGCAGGATCAGACCAGCGCTGAATGTGGATGCTGTGGTGAACGTACTGTGGTGCAACAGTGATTAGAACACCGCTGCGAGTACTGTTGCACAAGATGTTGTTACTAGTTAATATTACTAGTTTAGTCTCTAGCGGGACTTCTAGCTCCTCCTCTAGCTCCTAATCTGTAAACTCTTTGTAGCATAAAAAAAGCTTGATATAGACATTATGAAGAATTTACTTTACGACTGTATACTAAACACTTATTGTATCTTAACCCGCATTGCACTGGACCTTAAAAAAAGGTAGGCAACTTTTTCCACACAGACAGTGCTTGTAATCTTTACTCGGGCTATTTCTAAGTGATATTTACTTACTATAACCACTTATTTTTGATGTAAAATAAAAGGTAAATTGTACAGACAATACTCATCTATAACTGTAACTTTTACTCAGATTACCATTGCATCCAATTATACCCCAAGAGAACATTGCTGATATTTCTTCGTGTTTCTTACTCATCTTTTCTTTATGTTCTGTGTAATTATTAGGTAATATTTATTATGAATATACTAGTTAATATTAATTAAATTAAGTAAATATTTTTTTATTATTTTATTAAATAGTAATTCAATATTTTCCAAAACAAACATTTGCAGCTTAAGGGACACTTTTATTTCACAGTTGAAATGGCAGATATATTTAAAATATCTACATAACATTATAACCACAAAAACATGGCAAAAGCACTTTGTGCTTGCACTATTAAAAACAGAGCATATATACATATATAGAGTTTATACATCAAGGGAGTTCAGAAGATTCAGTTTATTATGTTTTCACATGTTATAAAGTTTAATGCTCCACAAGTTCTGTTATTGATGATAATACAGTCTCTTACTGCACTGACCATTACGCAGTAACTCACACTAAACACTCGACTTATACTAGTTTAGTTTAATAAAATCAGCAAACATTGTAAAAGAAATATGACAACACGACTCTGCGCTGCCAGAAACTGCTGTTATTGATGGCTATAGAAAACGAGTCATTTGTAACGGAGGATCATTCACAAACGAATCGCTCCCTCAGTTAGAATGAGAAGTGAAAGGGGGGAGGGGAAAGGGGGTGTTTCAGGACATGGATTAGACCAAATTTAACAGGGAGGGGGGATAATACATCTCCATGCACACAAACACACTCTTTATCAGCACTGCCCATGCGCTCACTAATCTATGGAACAAAATCAATGGCAAAAGTATTGTATTTAATATTGAAAAAATTGAAAAAAATAATACATCGAATTAACAAGTTCTTGCATTTTAATGACTTGAATTCCAGGGTTTGTATTTTTAGGTCCTGAAATTTAACATAGCTGTTTATTTAAGCTGTGAATATTTCAACGAAAAATATCTCAAACACGTTTTCATACTTATAAATTCAATAATTCATATTCAATTTAGAGATTTCACTAACAAAATATTCAATACCCTTTAAAAATACAATGTATAATATTCAAAATGTCATTTTCAGTTCATTTTATTTCAAGAAACACAATCATGGCTAAAACTGCTCTGGATAAACTGACCAACATTGACATGGAAATACAGCAGCACTGAACAGAACGTCAGCAAACGCATGCCGATTGTGGTAAAGCTGCTTTTATATTCACACATTCAGACTTTCTCCTAATGATAGTTTCAGAAGAGTATTCTTTGCAAATCCAAAATAGTGAAATTATATGAGCAGCCAGTAAATATCAGAGAACAGCAGTGTTCACAGTCAAGTAAATAGTGCTGCTGATGTTGGTTTGAGGCCATGTTTATGTGTAGTTTCAAGACTAATATTCAAAGCACCATGGTAAACTATATCTGGAGCGTTTCACGAGTCAGATAAATGAATGTGCACATATAAAACTAACTTCACCTCAATGGCATAGTGTAGAAATATTTATTAGTAAAGCACTTTCACACCAAACAGTATAATAACAGTGAAAAATTGGACAACTGCAGAAATGGATTACACTAACATTTACTGTGCATTTACTCATTTAATTTCACCACATAAAACATTTAAAATGTGCAGTCCTGCTATATACAGAGCCAAACATGATAAAAGAGATAATAAAACAGCCTTTGTCTGGCTCCATTGGGTTGAACTCACTCAAATCAGTCAACATGTCCGGTTTAGGGTCCTCTGAGCAGTTTCTGGAAGCAGTGCAGAAACCAGAGCATCATCATCATCATAATCTTCTTCTTCTTCTTCTTTAGGTTTTAACGGCAGCTGGCATCCTGTTTGTTGCATTACTGCCCCCTTCTGTACTATTTTTCTTTAACTCTAAATTCTTTTTTTCCAGTCCAGTTTCCAGTCCAGAAATTCATCAAACACTTCCTTCCTTTCTTCTGCACATTCTAATATATTTTTGATATTTATTTCTTCATTTCCGAAACGTATCAGCTGAGTTACCATTTCTTGTCTTTCTTATATAAATTGACCACATTACATCAATACATGTTTCACTGTCTCATACTCCTGACACGTATTTCATAATCCTGTTCCATATTTTCCCATTAAGTAAAGAGATCTATTTCAATTACTGTCACATTCTCATTCTGCTTATAGTTGCTCGTTCTTTTCTACTCATATTAGAAACCAGAGCAACATCAGGAGTAACCTTTTGTATATGTGCTGTTGTGCATCATGGGAAGTGGAAGAGACCAAATGAATGGTTTTATTATTATTATTATTATTATTATTATTATTATTATTATTTTACTAAATAGTCTTTTTATTTTTTCACATGGCTGTTGAATATTGTGTCATTTCCCCCAGTGATGGAAGAAACTAATCTCTCCAAAGCATTGCATCACCCACAATTCCCACAATTTCTTTGCAAACACTTGGTTGATTTAAAGTGTTTGTATGAAACGACACCAGCTGGTGACCCCTGCTGCTTAATACATGTAAATGCATCAAACTCTGGCCAAAAATGTAAAAGCCCGTGCCAACATGATGTAAATGTTTATGTAATATAGTAAATGCCCATCGCTTGAACATTCGTGCTACTAATTCATTTATTGTGAAGATTATTGCAAATGCTTAGCCAATATTGCAGATCTGCTTTATCTGTTTATTTTATTTTATTTTATTTATGTATTCTTTATCTATATGATCATATATATATATATACTTTTTATTTGTTTTTTTCTTTCTAATTGAGTCTAACTAATCTAATTGTTGATTTTTCATCATAATAAATTTTTACAATTATAATATTTGAACATTACATAGTATAAAAAATAGAATTGTTGAACTTTTTAGTTTGTATTTTATATATCTTGCAATATCTCATTTGAATTTAAATATTTTATCCTTCTATAACTACAGATGTTAGATAATCAAGTCTATATGTTAATGCATGCAATTGTAGAATACAACTGCTTAGGATTCACCAATTATTAAGTCATGCAAGATATTTCAGATGACTATGGTGAGGAATTTAATATAATTTTTGACTGAATAACAAGATTTGTCATTTGACATGTAGTTGCAAGTAATTTTCAAAAATCAATTAGCATTAAGATAGTGGATATTCAACTTGAATTTTGAGGCGATTGTGAGGGACCCCACTAAATCAGCTCTACTCCTCATTGATGGTAACCTATAAAAATATTTTTATCTGTAATGACAATTTTTTTTTTATTCAACACTTTTTCTACATAATATACAGACTGAAATGCTGAAAAAATGAAAACAAAATACTAAAAGACATCTGAGATATAAGGGATTAAAACTGACCTAAAGCACACTCAACAGAGAACAAACGTGATTGGTGCAAAATCACGAATAGTAATGAGTCAGGATTTACTACATGACAGGTGTTTTAAAATGTCATTTTCTGACTTAAAATCACCCTCATCAAACCTTAAGTAAAATGTATTTAATTCCTCAGCAAACTCTCTCACAGAACTAATACCATTTAAATTGGTTTTATTGCCCCCTCTATCTTCTTTACTCCCAGCCATTATGTTCACACTTTGCCAGGCTGATCTTAAGTTTTTGTTGCTAGACTGTTTCTGTTTCTCTATTTTATTATGTATGGTATTTGTTCACTTTTGTTTCATGTTAATTGAATCACACATCTGTAAAGTGTGTGTGTGAGAGTTATTAATATTATCTCCATAAAACTGCATGAATCAGTTTGCCTGATAGGAAACATTAATCTGTGTACACAGATTGTGAATTACCACACTAAATCAGCTGTACTCCTCATAAATGGTAACCTCACAGAAATATTTTTGATCAGTATTGACAGTTTATTTGCTCAACACTTATTCTACACAATATAACAATTAAAATGCAGAAAAAATTAAACCAAAACATTAAAAAACGGCCGAGATATAAAGGATTAAACCTGAACGAAAGCACACTCAGCTGAGGACACACAGGATTGGTCTAAAAACACGAATACTAATGAGTCATTTGCATATGGTCTATTCTCTAATAAAACACGATTTTAAAGAGTTTCATAAGCTTAAATATGATAATCAAAGTATGGGAAAACAACTTAGACATCAGATAATCAAATTCTGAATAAAAATATAGAAACAAGAACAAAGAAAAACACAAACAAACAAATGGTCATCACCATTGCCGAAATGCTGTGTCTCAAAACCTGGTCAACGGCCAAGGGTCACCTGTTCTTCAGGGTAATGCTCCCAACGGTTATCCCTGATAAGGATAATGTCTGCTTGGTTCTTGCATTGCCTTAGGGGAGACCTCTGGTAGAAGAATGATATATCTACAAAGATATATCCGCCAGACTGAACCTCGACCTGGCCTATTAATTTTTTCACTTCTAGTAAATAGTTGGAGGTCAGGATTATCTCTTTGAATACTTCAAGTCACATTTGGGCAAGTTCTTTGGTCATCTTGAATTTATGGAACTCCTTGGATGTTGACTGGAAGTATTCTGGAGAAAATCAGCAGGGAGTGAGTAGGCAGTGACATGCTCACGGCCAACTTTTACTCCTGAATCTACCTGTTGGATTCAGCTGATTTGGGCAAGGGCTCTCTTGTTCCCTAGAGATATCTGGGGTCCTGGGGAGTCTGGTCTCTGGATTAGCCAGAGTAGGCCCCATAGAGAAACAACTTCAGACTCTTCTCGGGTGACCTGGGCAACCTTGCGGTGTTAACAAAAGGTCACTTGGGGGAGTGGTAAGTATTCAGCCCCCCTGGGTCCACTTGGACAGCACGCAGGGAAGGTGGCCGGGGGCGAACAGGCCTTAA